TCCTGTCAACTGGTAAGACCGACGATTTTTTAAAATTCTTTTTGCCAAAAAACTCTTAAATTAAAAGTTGAAAACTTGCGTTAGCTTTAACTTCTATACCGGCGGCAGGTGGACAATGTTTTCAATTTTGCGTTTCTAGAATGTTTGCATCACCTGCACTTGTAGAACTGTTGACGATTAGATTTCTTCTTGAAGACGATTCGGAAAATGTTCAGTAGTCGCTTAAGTTATGCTTAGCGGTGAACAGGTGGTCGGAGTCAGACCAAATGCACACGTGTAGGTGCCTAATAGCTGTAAGGGTGTGTGCAACTTACGGGCTTTATAAACGGGTCCAATATTACATGCAGACTCTAGTTTTAGTTCGACAGGTGTACAAAGTGTGTGCCCTGGAGGGAGTTTTTACAGGCGAAGCGGGAAGGGCCGCGCTAGCTGGTCCGTGTCTTGTTTGCCGTCTCGCCTGGCTGTGTGTTTCACTTATTGAACTCAGGGGCCAACTTCACCCAGCATGATCCTGTAGTGCGAGCGAACCACGGATAGAATACCGTGGAATACAGTAGACAGTGGTAGGCTGTTGTACGCATTACAATAGTAGTCGTATTTGTGCCACTTAGTCTTCTATTGTGTAAAAGTTGTGACGGCGCTTTAAGGAAGTGGGTTCTCTCAATGTGAAAGCTTTGTCCAACACATGGGCCACTGTACACAGTCTGCAAAGCGTACAAGGCCCTCCAGTTAGCGACTGAAATCCTACTACAGATAGATATAGCGGTAATCATAACTGCACTGAGTATACAGAGTTGCATTATCTAGGATCCGGATTAACTACTTTCATCATCAAGGCCAAAAACTTTCATTTTGTTCTGTTCATGCGCAGTCATGCGCGGGTTTCTTGTAGGCTGTCGTAGAATTTTAGGCAGGTTGTCATGACTAACCGACAAGGATCTTAGCCTTTTTTGCCAGGCTACTTGCTGGAGAATTGCCCGGCTATCCCAAGAATGCAGGAATGAGTCAAGTTTGCGATCGTAGGACAATCGTATGCCGTGTGTAATCCGGCCCTTATAGAAATTAGAATGTTGCACACTGGCCATAATCATGACTTGTAGGTTTGTTCATATGTTGTGACAACAGAAAATGAGCACTAGCTGAACATTTTCCTTTCCCTAATGTGACAAGTTTTGAACAAGTGTCAAGGCCCTAATTTCTACTCTTGTGTTTAAAAACACGACATCGTGACTAGCTATAGATAGCGATCTGCAAAAGGGCAACAGGGCTCTGTCAGTCTTGCGACCGCCTTTAGGTGCCCATGGAGTACGCTCAAACACTCAAGTTATCAGTGTTGTCATCACGTCTTGTCAATGTCAATAATGTTGCACATGTAATAAAAAGTGTTGGAATGTAAAAAAAAAGTGGAACAGTCACTAGAATGCTATGGGAAGAGAACTTTAAAAGTACAATGTAATTTTCCGCCAATGTGTCGCATGAGAGGTAGCATCACGGTTATTGATTGAGGAGAGAGTGAGAGAGACAGAGGTAGAGAGAGAGAACGTGCCACAAACTACACGAAACAAGCACCTTATGAAAACCTCTTTACTGGTAAACAGGTGTCTGTGATTGGAATGGGACCGCATAGTTGGCCGAGATATATTTTCTCCCAACTAAGAGCTTAGTGAGGTTTACCTGGCGCGCTTAAATGGTCGCCAAGTCAAGTACATCGATTTTGTTCGATTATCGAAAACTAAGGGTGATTTGTGGCGGGTTGCAGCGTGCCCTGCTGATCATAATTCGTTTTATATCACGTGGGAAGGGAGGCACGGCGTCGTGAAAACGAGTCCTGCCGGTGACCACGATGGACGGGGACGGGACGGGGCGGAAGGGCGGCACAGGACGCGGACAGGAGGGATTGAGAGATGGAAAGGGAAAGAATTGGAAAGAAAGAAAGAAAGAAAGACAGAAGGAAGGAAAGAAGGAAAGAGAGAAAGAAAGAAAGAATTTTGGAGGGGGATGAGAGGTTATAAACAACAGATCGTGGTTCTTGCATGTTCCTCGGACCAAAATAATGTCGTTTGTATTGTGTTGCGAGCACAGAGGGGGTAAAATGAAAACGAATGGGATCTGAATAGTTATTGTCTGAAATGTTTTGTCACGAGAAGGAAGTAATTTAACTGCTGCCACTGCCAAGTCGAGAGTACAATGGTACAATGACACGATAACATTGGGTTCAGAAGGAAACGACCGCTTCAAAAGGTGAGCAAATTAAATGGCAAATGACTTTTGAGAAACATTCCACAGTGAGAGCACACCGCTGACGTCATAGCTAGCCGTGTTACACAATCTCTCGCCGTCAGGGACTGAAAGGACCAGTAGAAGGGCCTGCTAGAAGCGTGATGTAGTCAGACCTGCGTCATACAATCCCAATGAAAGGTTGTTTGGGCTATTTTCCCGATGTTACAGTAACAGCTACATGTATACAGAAAAGTGTGTTAGTCTGCGTCAGGTTACCTCAGAAGGACTGGTAAATGGTACTTAGAACAACACGACCTACAGTTGTTAAACCACTTGTTATATAGGGGAACTTCCCAAGGTACAAAAGACTGGAGCCTACACTCTACTGAGCTACTATAGTTACGGTGCCTATCTGTCACAGCTACCACTGCCACCTCTACATGGGGTCAGGTGCATTGGCATAAGGTCTATTACACCTGTCCTGGCTGTCAATCACAATTAGCAGACTAACCAATGAGAGAACAGCAATTAGTGCTATAACCAATGAGAGAGCGGCGGCAAATATTTGCATTTATGTGTTTTTATTTTGCATTTCTACGTACTGACGGAAGTGCGTGAGGGCTATGGGATCGGCTGGTTTATTCAGTACTTCAGGACTGACTTTACCCCTTTTACAGCTGGCTGTGCCCTTTTTTGCAAGGAGTGTTTGAAATGAGAATCTTTAGTGGCCACGGACCAAAGGCGATCTTTCCTTATACCATATATGATAACACGATCCTGTTCCCATCCACGCCACCTGCAACTATGTGGCGAAGCTTTCCATCGAGAAGGTTCGATGGTGAAAGTGTTTTCTGCCGTGAACATCAAGGCTCATTTTCACTAAGTTGGACACCCCCCAGTAGGCAGCACTAACTAACAGGATTACAGCGTGTTTATTCCACCCCAAGCCCTAACGTCAATACCTGTACATACTTACAATTCAGCGTTTAAGGTTTCTCTGCCGCCGCCACCCCAAATATGTATCCATGGAAACGAGTTTTGTCCGTGTAGAATATACAGATTGGACAGGATGTGGCTGTTGGTGTAGGAACACGAACAGGGGCCCGCTGCCAGGATGTCTATATAATACCGTAACCAAAGCCGAGCAAAAATGCACGGTCATCTTTTTAAACTTCCTGTACGATTCCATGGTGGGTTTTGCAATCAACATCTTTCTGTTTTGAACAAATTGACTGGTGTGTGGCCCTCAAAGATCGGCTGTCAGTTATGCGTGTACTTGACTTTCCTCGCGTCATAACTTTGTTGGATCCCTTCCGCCAGAGTCGGCGACCTAAGAACGTTTGCTTGTCTCCAAGGCAAAATTATATACACAGTCATGTCATTATCTTAGTTTTAGAAGTATAAAAAAATACCGGAAAATTGATGTTTGTTCACAGTTTAAAACGCACTAGTTACACTACTATTGAACTGCTATCAGCTTATTTTTCCTCCAGAAGTGTCATTTTAACCCGCGTTGCGTAAGAATAAATGGGGCGGGCTCTTTTATGCATTTGTCAATTTGGACATGGACTCGACACGAAGCAAATTAGTATAACTTGGGCATGACTAGGTCCTTTCAAACATGCCGGAAAAGGCTGACAACCTTGTCCTCCAATTAACACTTTTAATTTATCACTTTATCGTTAGCGCCAGGTTCATTGCCACCATCAACAGCGTATAGAAAATGTGTACAAAATATTACCGATCCGAAAGCACTATATGTATACATGTACGTGACAGTCGGGGGTCGCCAGTGTATAAAGGTGTGGGAAGAAGGGTAAGCCGAGAAAAAACGACATGGCGCAAAACGACATTGAATAGTGATGGCACGCACACATGTACAAGGAAAGCTACGATGTGCCAACGAAAAGACCAATCCGCCAAGGCCCGGCGGTCACATACATGTAGGTCGTGCGATAGCGGTACGATCGCAAACTGAGGACATTCTTGGGATAGCCGTGCATGTGTTATACAAAATTCATTTGTCTTGTTACGAAAAAGACTGTCCTAAATCCTTATCGGCGGTTGGTTATGTCACAGCCTGCTTTAGAATTCTACAGCATCAAAATCGTAAGATGTCCTACTACTAATGTGACCGCGCCGTTACGCAGAGCCGATCTATAGAGCACATGGGCGAGCGATTAAAATTAATCTAAACTTAAAGCTAGGATCAGAAAAGCTTGGTGTAATCAGGGAGTGGAAACAAATGTTTAGTTGTAAACTTATTTAAAAACAGGGTTGGGTCGGACGCGAAATCAAACACCGGGGACAGTAATAGAGCAGTGACGTCTGACATATTGAAATGCAACTTTGAAGTTAGTCCACACGTCGGGATGGTCAACAACGTAGTGAACGATGAGAGCAATTAGCTGTTACAGACCTAAGGGTTAGGCCAGCTGCGTCGACGTTTATTTGGCCACGTTTTCATCCATACTATAGTCATCTACTTCAACATACATTGGAGTTTTAGATTGGGAGAACAACTTTCTTATGTCATAAAGATGCATTTACAAATTCCACAACCTTTTGATTGCTTTTGCGTATGGAGCCATTTTTGTCCCCTTCGCTTGTACTCATGAAAGAAAAGCAACTGTTCCTAACTGAACCTTTACACTAACGGAGCATTCTTAGCCTCCTTCGCAGACGTGTTGGGCGGTCGCATTATTTTTTCGGTGAGCGACGCGAGTTGTGCCGCGGAGGGACGATTTTGCCGCCGAGGGAGTTGGAGCTCTTGTTGTAGCTTGTAGCGGGAA